TGCGACCGGCAACCTTTGTTCTGGGGTCCAATGGGCGAGTCTCGTCACCTAAAGCTGCTGTGTGCGACGATGATGATTGACCACGGCGGTGGCCACTCAACTCTGGTGGTGGTGAGATAGGTCTTCCCTCGAATGTCTGTAAAGCCTCTGTCTCTGCTTCGCGCTGTAGTGTTGCTGATACCAAAGAGTAGGATCACTCATCCCCAGGGCCCACACAGATATCGAACACTTACCGCTGGAAGATAATCTCTTCAAAGGACGACCAGAGAACTTGTGGGTTGCGTTATACCTTGGTTCTGCTGAATGAGCCCTCCTTGGCTGGTCCGGGGGGCTGATTGAGTTGCCGCCCATTTGAGTTTCGTTTGAGTCGAACAGAGATCTCTTCTGCCTCCCACTGTTTATCAAAAGACATGGGGGTTTGTTCCTAAGTTGTCACATTACTGTTGTCCCAAGGAGCAGGGCTCACACCCTTAGAGGCGATGCCAAGAACTACACTGTTGAAAAGCTGTGCAACTGTCCTTATGGCGATGATTGACTATTTGGCCGACTTGGGTTGCTGAAAATGGGCTGAAAATGGGCCATGGCCTTCTTCGTGCAGTTGTAGATCCAGAAGAGACGAAAGAAGAAGAGAGTAAAGTTGTTGATGACGAGTTTGTTCAAGTAGAGGTTTCAATTTGGGATCAGATAGACTCTTGTCAGCGTTGGCGCGTTGCCGTCCGCTCATCTCTGTGTTGTTTTTTGAATGCGATCACGATTCACGGGTGTTGTTCCCTCCACATGACCTTATGGTGAATTGATAACGAATAGAAAAGCTGAATGGCCCTTTCAATGCAGATTGAAGCTTCATAAGTATACAACAAACCGAAAATGAACCATGCGAGTCATGCAAGTAGATAGATTGTCTATAGGTGTATAATCAAGTGAAGTCCTGCGTAGACACTGAAGAATAATGGTTATGTGATAACAACAATGGCTTTTCTGAAGTCCGTGATATCCTGCTTCCACGGCACGTCCAAATGCGTAGCAAATCCTGCAGTAAGAGTTAGTTCGTATTATGATACGGAAGAAGGGCAAGGACAGACCAATTGGCTTCCGAATATCAAGAATGCCAGTACAGGTACTAACAATGAAGGGAGGATGAGTAAAGGTGGTCACGGTAAACAATGAACGGGTTACATACAGGTTGCAAGTATCAAATCGAACGCTTGATCGTGCTGCCAAGTTATGACATATGCGACAGCAACGCTATTATAGAGTTGGTAAGACTCGACAGGCATGGTGATGGACACTCACCCAAGTGCTAGAGCTCCCAGGAGGCTGAAAACCATTACACGGATAACCATCGTAATTGACTGCCCACTGCCAGATATAATCCGTCGATTCTGGAAAAGCCGAAAGCCGATGACACCTGAAGCGAAGCCTTGTCAGACAATGCAAAGTTAAACAGAAAGTCCCCAACCTTGGATCGAGACGATCAGAACCATGCAGGACAGAACGATCATAGAGGAAATCTTGGAACTGAGATGGATAACTTGGATCAGAATGCAACGGAAAACGGGCACATGATGCTCACTCACATCATTGGGTTCGTGGAGTCACAATAAGTCTCGTTCGGTGATCGTCTGACGGTAAGTTCGTTGGCGAGACCATACTACAAATTCATGTAAGTATAGTTTGCAGGGAGGACCGTGCAACATACCAGGAACACGCCCAAGAACACAGCTAACCAAACCATATATGGAATGATCAATAACTGACATGCTGTCAGAAAGCGTGTAAGGTTGGTAGAAGTCACACGAAAACTCACTGCTGCCACGGCGCCTGAATTCGTTCTGAAGGGCGCGTTCGCGAGAAGGCGTCGCAGATTCAGAAGCATCTACAAAAATCCAGGTAAACCAGGAAGAACTGCGTTGCCAATGTTGAAGACTAACATGGACGACAAGGGCCAGAGTGGTGCATCCAGTTCTACGACCATGAATAACCTAGAATTATTTCGATTTTAGATCTGAGAAGGCAAAACTCACAAACTCGGTGCAGCGTATATGAGTGCCCCTTGGGACATGCATAGTCCGAAATCTGGCGGCGGACCAGTCCTCTGACCAGCAATAGCAAGGAGAGTGTAGGAGAGGCATGAAAACACCCAGGAGCCTACAAAGCTATACCACGTCGAGTACCGTTTCACACCGCGCCCAAAAGCCGCAGTGAGCATGACAATCAACAGCCCGCATCCACCAATGAGTTGAAGAACGATAAAGGCAATCGCGACCCGGTCGTGTATGAGCTGTTCATGTTCAGTCAACTCTATGAAAGGGTGCACGTCAACGAACGAAAGAAAGATCTGGGTCTCGATGCTGCTCACCACGGGGCGGGGTCGAAGGCACTGATCGAGAGAAAGACATGAGAGTTGGTGGATCAGGTTCTTATTAAATGAGCGGCGGGGGTGCTGCGACTGGCGAGCTCCGTTTGACTTTCCGGAAGTCCTCAGGGCGGAGATGCAAGGAACGGTGGCTTAGTGGAGGATAGTCAGGGTGAAGAAGAGACCCAAGATCACAGCCATGTCATCCCAATCCATTTGAGTCAGTAGGTGATGCATATTTGAATGCCTTCGCACCGTCAACGTCTTCTCCGTCAGTTTCTCTGTATGGAGATAACTCTTTCAAGCCATGGACGGGAGTTAATCTGGCAACTGACATGCCATGTGGATCATTGTAGATGAGCGCTGAAGTCTTAACCGTTCGAGAGTGGAGTCAACTTACAGGGTATTGCTGGATTGCATCGTGAGCGATGGGCAGTGCATGCATGTCTCAAAGTGGTGGTCAGTCAGGACGATGTTACAACCCTCAACCCATATTACCCAAGGATGTTATGAGCGCGAATGCCACTGTTGAAAGATTCTCCTGATGGGGCTCACGAGGTAGCAGCAAATTTGGACGGCACCGTTACGTCTCTTAACTTTGCGGGCGTCGACGGATGTTGATGGAGAGAAGAGGGATGTCTAATTCGGGTGAGATACAGCATGACAGCCGTTCACGTCCTACTCGTTTCCATCATGATCGTCGTTACTGGTCCCCTCAGCTGCCTTCTTCCTCTCGTCACGTCTCAATCCTTTGCCAACTCTCCATCTTTCGTTCGTAACGTCCACGTGATCCAGCCTCTTCCTCCTGAGGAGCGGCACGTACTTGTCATGCCCTGTCCTTTTGTAGGTTCCGCCTCCCAACGGAATGAGGAGTCTGGGTGGCCTGCTGGTCGACGACGGTGCGGGGGACTCGACGAGCACAGGGTTTTGCGGCGATGGTAAATGAAATCGAACAGCAGCGAGGAGGAAGTGATCGTTCAAGGCTGTGTAAACCTTCGATCTCGAGTGTATGGAGTGGAGTTGTTGATATAGATCAGACCGCGTGTCACTGCCATCCTGCAGGGGCGCTCCGTTTGTCGTGCGCCACTCCAATTCTTCTTCGGGATAACCACAGTCCCAAAGCATAAGGGGCAGTGCATCCGCCATTTGGTACTCGGGCTTGCAGTCCACAACCTCGATAGCACTGGGTTCCGAACCCTCTTCTACGTTCATCAGGTCGGTGATTACGGAAGGGTCCTCTTGGCCGTGCCCGATCATGAACAGAACGGACATGATATGCCGGACTTGATGATATAGGAAGGCACTCCCAACAAGGTTGAAGACGTACTCCCCCTGGCCGTTGGCGTCGACTGAGATGGACTCGATCTCGGCGCGCATGACGCTCCTTTTGAACGATGTGATCTGTTTTGCTGCATCGAGTTTACACATATTGCGGAAGTCGTGTTCCCCGACTAGGTGGGCAGCAGCAGCACGCATGCGCTCGACGTTAAGTATGGTACCGGGGGCGTTGTCCGTTGAGAAGAAGTACTTGTAATGCCTGTAGGTACATGAGAAACGTGCGGAGAAGTTGTCGGCGACTGGAGACCAGGCCAATATCCGTATGGTTGGAGGAAGAAGGCGATTGAGGATAGCGAGGTAGTCGTGCTCATATTTCTCCTTTCTCCGCTGCGTGGGTGCTGGAAGGCTTGAATTGAGAGATGTGCTGACCAAATCATCCTCTTCGAACCCAAGTTCGAGCCCGGCGAGGGCGCCCTCTTCCGATGCAGGTGGTATTGCAGAGGTAGAGTCGGGCGATGCACCGGTATCGCTGGGGTCCACGATTTCTCTAGCAGCTTCGGTGATGCCATCCTCTCCTCCTGCATTAGAACCAAGTGCGCTTCTCACCCAGAGTGAGATGACCTGTCCGGCGGCACTGACTCCTCGATCTGTACGACCACACTTCTCCCATCCGCAACCGTCGAATCCTGCCTCCGCATCTATTAGTCTGGCCTTGATCATCGCATCATATAAAACTCCCTCTACGGTCGGCAGTGTGGTTTTCATTTGTTGAAAGGCAAGACCGCCGTACTCCCAGCCAGAATAACAAAACTTGAGTGCAATTTTCCGTCTTGAATGCCTGGAAAATTGAAAAACTTTGTCGTGCCTAAGCTTGGGAGATGGTGGTCGTTGTTTTGGGCGAACTTTCGCGTGGTCCAGCTGTGTCAGTCGGGTGATCAACTCTTCGCGAGTCCACCCATCATAGAGAGAAGGTGATGAAGGCGATGCCATTACGCGTCGGGGGGTGACTATGGTTGAACGTGGAAGACGTGAAAGAACACCAATAGTCATACAAATCCCAAAACACACAAGGGACCCCAAAGTCGAGCACGGAGAAAAAGTAAGAGCAGTGGCCAGAAGAGGAAAGGGAGCGTGACAGTAGTGACTATAGTGTGACAAATGGAGAAATAATTACATTAAACCAAATATGCAAAAATAACTTACAATATTAGCCTTCGGATATGCCGCCACACCACGGCTGCATCCTCCTCTGAACCTTTCTTCTGGCCTTAGCATAACGTGACATAGACAAACAGAAGGGAAGATGTGTACGGAACTCGCCTGTTGGGCGATTAGTGGGCTTGATCTTTGCATAGAGGGTAAAAAGGGGCTTAGCTGGGAATTGAACCCAGGACCTCCTCCAAATATCAGACCACTGCTAACGGATTCACACCCGAAGGAGGAATCATACTACTAGACCACTAAGCCTACAATCCACTTTCCCAGGGTAGTTACCCAGAGGGAGCAGGGAGCTTCAGGGATTTCGAAACGTGGAGGGAAAGGATGGCGAGGATTTGTGGGGTATTGTACGGATTGAGGTATACATGGTCGGATCGGGAGGTTTCCGAAGACGACTTGTTGAGGTTCGATCAAAATAAGGTTCAGTGAGGCTAAGGATGGTGACGTAGGTCAAGGCAACGTGGCGTCTAAGTTACTGTACCGCACTGTATGGTGGCAACTGTAACGCATAACGCGCGCCTAAAATGTTGCCTAAGGGTGGGAACGTAACGCATAACGCGGGGGTGGTTGCTAGCATTAGTTCAAAGTTCAATTTTGAGAAATTGCCGCCGTTTTTCGCCAAATTTTTCTAGGGAGGTTCGTTGGCATTCACTGTGCTTAGTTTTCCCGTGTTCGTTCAAGGCTCTTATACCCCAAATTTTTGGCTTGCCTGCGGCGCCTAGGTTCCTTAATTGACCCCTCATCACGCATAACGCAGCTTGGGTTGCTAACACGGCACCAAACCCGAGCGTAACGCACCATTTTGGGTTGCCACCATACAGTGCGGTACAGTACATGAAAATCGTATCATTTAGATTACGTCACTGGTCAGGGCTCTAAGCGTTGACCTTGTTCAAACCTCTATTATATATGCCGCGACTCTTACCCTTCGATCATGATGCATGATGCACCATCGAGCAACTAACAGGCAGAGTCTCGTCAGATCTCACCCGTGGCCATAGTTCTCCTCAGACGCGATATCCCCCAGTCCGCTATCCGAACCTACATAGCTCTATGTAACACCCTCTTGTTATGTGGCCCTACAAACTTGGAAGTGGGCTCACTACACAATAGATATGCCTATTCCAGATATCGAACAAACCCCTGGTAATGCCTAACATATGAACATCCCTTAAGCTTATATATGAGAGCGAGTGCCAGTCACGCGTGTTCCCGCCATTCACACCCGATTCCACTGCGCCTTCACGGAACTTTTCAATCAACCCTTCATCAACATACAGACCTTCAAACTCTTCTAATAGAGCAGCGGAAGCACCCCTCCATGAGGTTCCCATCGTTTCCAAAACCTCTTCCCCACCCATGGAACGTTCATGACAATGGCGAACCTAATTCTCTGTAGGACCCACTCTAGGGAACGAGGTGTGGCGCACGAATGGGCTCTTGGGACGCGGCTGACGAGTTTTTAGGCCTCATCATGTCCGAATATGGGTGAATTGAGTTGTCGTCTCGCACCAAGACTTCGAAACGTCACAAATCTGGATCAGCTTCGCGTTTCCAGCCCCCATCAGCTCCCGGCGGCCGGTTTTGAATGGAAGCAACAGATGCACGAAGCATGCGATAGCTCCACAACGAAGATCACTTGCTTTGTTTGATGGGCTATTCCTGCCCACGAAGATTTAGCACCTAAGAATATGTGAGTTGATGGACCAATCAATCCAGATGTTCCATATGGCATATCAGCTCATGCTTTCCAGACCTTTGCCGTACCTCTGCGTTTCCGAGCCTTCGATCGAGGAGCCCATACAGAATCAACGCCGTGGGCGCAAGTCGGTCTCGATGAAAACGATCGAGACTTGCGCTTCAGTACTTAAGGAGTCTACACATTAATAGTATCTTGTGGCACCCATTCATCCAAATTAACGCAGATCTTCGCACGCTGTACGCCTAGTCTATGTGTCGTGCACGATGATAGGAACAACCCAAGCCTCAAAATTCAAGACCCAGTGATTCAACACTGGAGAACGGATGTCAGCCACAGTAGCGTTTGTTCTTTGTATGTCCTCTGTTCATGACTTACGAATTGTGTGACATTGTAGATGTCCCATATGGTATACCCACCTCAGATTTTCGGGGCTGTGCCGTACCTCTCCGTGTCTTCGATCCAGGCGCCCATATATAATCAGCGCCGCTTGGGAATGACCCAAGTCGGTCTCGACGAAAACAATCCAGATCAACGGCGAATTACGGTGTATGTGCTCATTAATGTCATCCTGTGGCGCCTGTTCATCCTCGTCGATTCAGATATCAATATGTATTGTTGACACACTAGCCCCAGCGGGGATGAATTATCTACAGTCGATACGATGTCTGCTACTTGTGATTTTGGTAGGCGGGGCCGCACCTCCGGGCCTGGGACAAATACCTCGAATTCCAGATCTTGTCCATCATTCTGTGTAATGGGACTTGGGGAACTCGGCTTATCGATGAGTCTGTGTCGATATCCTGGCCTTGTCTGGAACGATAGCCATTCCCTCTGCGCCCCGGTAGAAGGATTTCATAACGCCGAGGGGCCGCGTCCTTACGCAAGCCATCGAAACGGAAGGCTGGCAGGGCACCCTCATGATAGGCTCGAGTTGGTGATGTTCCTGCCGTGTAACATGACCCTCGCTGTGCACTTGTTGTCAAAGAATTGCCTTAAAGATGTTTACTTAGTATGTATCAGTGCTTCAATGTTAACTTACCTTTATCTGCACACAGGGAGAACTAATATATAACATCAGTACTGCAGGGAGGCATGCCATACGACACATCTAGGGTTGAACTGAGATGTTTCGAGTAGGAACGACGCCGACTCCTTCGTGTTCTTGATGCCTTCGACACCCACTTCTTGTGGACTTGCGACATTTGCTAGCTCACTGGATGTCGAGGCCCGAAGTTCGCGATTATCCAGCTGTCCCTGCCCAAACAATATTTGGAGAGCATTCCAATCAATTCCGATCAAGTACTCCGGATACCACAGCCCCATGGCAGAATGCCATTATCCACGCAACATATAGCGTCTGTTACCCTGGAATAACTTGGCCCGTCCAGTCGTTCAACTTTTTCTAGATCTCACTATTCGGTTAACGGATGTGATCCTTATATCTTACGTTGAACTTCTAGATCAAGATCTGGATATTCCCAATACTGTTTCAGATCTGCGTGCGCAGGGGGGGTTAGGATGCTGATATGGCTTCACACGTGCCGCCCTCAAGCGAACATGATCCGATCGCTTTCAGTACTAGTATCATGATCTTATACTAGTTTCATGTCTGCCTCCGCAGATAGTGATCCTGGGTGAGATGCAGCAGGGACACGATTTAGGGGTTACAATTGTGTGCCGTTGAAGCATGTAAATTCTAGAAGCGAAAGAAGTTCTCAAATGACTATCGCCAATCGAATTCGGTGCCAAAACCACTTCGTCGACTCCAGTATGTCCCAACTCTTGTCAGAAGCGAGTATTTATGGGATACTTCTTCTACCTGATCTGGTTCACGATGTCTCACCCCAATTTCTGTATCGCCTAGAACATGACGCTTCATAGCCATGGGAATCGAGAAACATCCATCTTCATCTCGTCACGTCTTGATACTTGTCGCTCGTTGTGCTGAGACATCAAGTCCCTTACTTCCATCAAAGATGTGATTGTATTATCGCAGGCCAACCATGCTACAAATATCCAGCCGGGATTGTACTGTTCTTCAAAGCCCCCATTCTGACTTCCGAGAGCGCCCCCTCCCGCAAATATTCTAGGTTCAATTCCCAACATATATATCCTTTTAACTATTTCTACACTTGTGGCCCTGTCTCCAGTGTCCTCGTTGTCATGACTCCAGATGAAAGGTCGCTGCTACAGGAATGTGGCCTGATACTACAGCAAGACATGATTCAAGTGTCAACCGTGACCATTTTGTATGGTAGGCTCATTACGACCAATCATGAAACTCTGTACTTACTTCTATGTTACTAGCGATTCTTGCATCAATTATGACCAACGTCTTTTACTCCTCTGTCAAGTACCTGTTTTTGATGATTTCTTAACTTTCATGACATTCATGTGGACAAAGGCGTCAAAGGAGAACTTCCGGCTCTAGGGCTGCATCCCTCCTGCATGGTCTTAGCTTGGCTGCATTCACTACATTGTTAATACTTCAAGTTGAAGACATCACACAAATTCCCATTGTCTTCATGACCAGCACCACGAGCTTGGAAGATCGTCTCGCAGTATATAACCTCAAACAGGTTTCACCCAATCTGGTAACAAACTGGCTGCAATGTTTACTTGTGAGTTGCATATAGCACAGAGTGACTCAATTGTGCTTACACAGCCAACAGCCTGTCTTTAATGATGCCTTTATTATTTGGCGTGCATGGGTTGTTTTTCAGAGAAGAAGATGGGCATTGTATTTGTCTATCTCATTGTGTATGTTGACCCTTTGTATGTTTTACTTTCTTCAGTCCTTGCACATGATAACATGCCACCCCAGTATTCACATTGACCTATCTGTCACAGTTGATCACAGACAATGCAGAATTGAATGTAACAGAGAACAATCTCAGAGTTGACAACATACTTTTTGCTACATTTTCAGCTCTATCACTGGTAACAAATCTTGCTGCTACTTGCTTTATTGGATGGGTCCTCCAGTATGTCTATCATTTGCATTCCCAATCTGATGTGGTGTTAATATGATTGCATGAACTACCAGATCACACCTCATGTTTATCAAGGCCAATGTAAGAAGCAGAGATCAGCAAGTGTTTAAGGTTTCAACCATCCTGGTCCTCCTAATAGAATCGGGAGCCGGGTATATGATCCTTCAGGTAAGTTTTCTTGTGATTTTAGAATTCACCTCAATTGTTGTTGAATTCCAACTTCAGCTTGTGAATTTGGTGTTGCAAATGGTTGTTAGTCCAAATTATGAAGTGGCCTCAATAGCTCTTTTTGTTGTACACTCCATCTACTCTTGCATCTCAGTATGTGATATGTTTGATGGATTACTGTATGTTACTAAAAACTCATCAGTTTGCATATCCTGCACTCACAATTTTCCTTGTCCATGGACCGTTTTCCATTGCTGCAGTGAATGACACTGTCATTTCATTACATGCATCACAGGGATCTACTCCTGCATAGCCATTAAAAAGTCATACTGGAATGGCATCTTGGAAAGCCATATGATCCCATATTGCTGACTCCCTTCCCTTGG